CTTTCTCTCTATTGCCTTTAAGCATTTATCTTCTGTACATTGTGTTTCATTTTGTTACCACCAGTGGCTCACGGTTCATGTATTTATGCTTTACTATTCCTAAAAGAAACAAGGACCAAAATATTCCACCTCTTTTGTTACATCAGGCTAAGTATATTGAAACTATTCATTAAGTGCATTAAGATATTTTTGTTGCACTTTCAAATGGTTTTGACAAATTCCAGTAAAATGTCAAATTGCTTCATCATTTCTAGGATTGGCAGTAGTCTGTGTTTTTATAACTCTCAAAGAGCTTACAAAATTTATATAGAGTAAAACCAGTGTTACTATACTTTGTATAGAGTGAATAATTTGTTGCCTGTGGGTTTTTTACAATTTTATGTGTGATCATACAGAAATATATTTTACCACAAAGGAAAATCATTTAGGTATAGCATTATACTTCCCTGATGCTTCAGTGCAGTCAGATGGCATCATTGAAAATTCCACATTCAAATGTTTTCATTTACCTAAAACTTAATTTGGTTTAAGGAGATAGGTAGAAATTCAGCTTAATATTTTACTAAACATGAGGTAGCCATTTGTTCCAACTCCATTCACTGAGTTATCCCTCAGTTCCACAGTTACTAACTAAAATGTTAGTGTTACTGTTTGGGGTGATTTTTGAACCCCAGTGTTGCCCCAGTGGCATGGGGGAGTGTGTGTGTGACAACACAGAAGTGCAATGAGCATTTTTCTTTGGTTCTTCCCCGCTGATGCAGCAAAGAATTACAGGTCAGCCAGATTTAGAAAAAGTAAGTTTTATTAAAAGTACATTTTAGAAGGAGACGGGCCACGCTAAGGAAGTTTGAAGCCTCTGGACTTTGGGAGGTGAAGAGATAAGACAGTACGCTCCAAGGGAGGAGTGGGTTTTCAGGGAAGAGAGCTGTAACAACCCATAAGTGGGAAGGTTTGTTTGTATTTGGGTCACAATAGGAGGTCCTAGAGGATCCGTATGTGCGGTCACCTTGACTGACAGCTGGCTGCTAACACTTAGCCTACTGCGCATGTGCTTACCCAGGATTCAGTCTGTTATAATTAGATTCATGAACTTCCGGACATAGTCATGATATTACGATGATGGTATAATGAGGCTGAGGTTGTGGATAGGTTGCGGTAGTACTTTCTGTGCATGTGTTTGTGGCTGGTTTAGCCAGCAGCTTTTATGGCCTTTGTGCTCTAGGATTTGGGGTAATTTATAACCCTAAAAGGGAGGTGTTTCTGGGAGGTCCTTAAGGAAGGTCTTCAAGGGAAGTTTCTATGGTCACAGACCTGGGCCTTGGCTCCTGTCACTCAAGCCTGACTAACTACCCAACATTACCTATACTGGTTATTGATTTTTCTGCCTGGAGTTGGCAGTAGAGAGTTTTTTGTTTTGATCTTGAAGCTGTAAGAAAGTCTAGAGCTGCCTGACCAAGAGGTGGTAAGTCCTGATGGTGTTCAGACTCTGGTTCTAGTTGCCCTAAGGCCAGTTCCATCCTGCTGTGGTTTGAGAATGTGGCCATGAAACATTCTTTTTGTTTAGGTCAGATATCCTTGTACTTGTATCACTTCAAACTGAAATGGCATGTTTTGTTATATATTAAACTCTTAAATGTATTTGATTATATTTTTATTTACTGTTCCCACTAATCTACTTTTCTCTTCTTCTCTAGAGCTGCACCATTTTTTTCTTTACATTTTAATATTTTTTAGGGCTAATTCCTCATCATAACACTTGACACAGCCTTTTGATTGAATTGACCTAGAGAAACACTGATTGGGGGGGATGGGAGATTGTCCTGGACTGCAGATACAAGTGTTCTAGTTTCTGTAAAGTCCCTCCCCCACAACCTTGCCATCTCTAATCATAAATTAAAAAATTAAACTAGAATTACTAATCAGTATCTTATAAATTAGTTAGCAAGAATTAGGGCTCACTTAACAGACTTACTTACTTGGGCAAACTACTAAAACTGGGGTTTCTAGATTAAAAAAAACTTGAAGACTGCACTATGGACCACTGAGAGCACACCTCAGTGGCTGGGCCCGAGCGGCCAGCAGCTAGCCTGCTGCTCTTTTAGTCTTTTTTAGCTGCAACAAATGGAATATGTGCAGTGAAATCCAAGGTTCTACTAAAACATCAGGATGCTCTACTTTGACTAATATGAAGGAAGAGGTGAAGTGTAAATGAAGAGATGTAATGCTAGAGATAAAATCAAGGCCAGATGAAAAGAACACTTATGAAGGGCAAATTCTACCAAGACAATATTGTAAAATGGTTAAGTGCAGACTTTAGGTTGGGACCACCTGAGTCTGAATCCCTGCCCTGCAGCAAACTAGTACATGATCTTGGGCAAATTTAATTTCTGTGTCTCAGTTTATTCACCTGTAAAATGGAAATAATAATAGTATCTGCCTTATTGTATTGTTGTAAGGAATAAAGTAGTCACATAAAGCATGTATAGCAGTGCCTAGACTATAGAAACTACTAGGCAAATAAATGCTACATTATAATGGTCTAAAATATAAGTCCTTATAGTCCTTATAGTCTATAACGACTTAGACTGTAGATTTGCAAAGTTCCAATGGATGCCTCAAACATGTGAGTAAAAGTTTAACTAAACATGTTCAGTATTCATAAGTATTGCTAGTAATTACCCTTTTTCCTGTAGACAACCAGTCATCTACATTTGGACTACAAATCTGAAAAGGGGGGTGGGGAGAGGCAATATTTGTGTTTAAAGAGAACCTTTAAATTGTTAATTTGCATAGCAGTCATTCTTCTCAGAGGTTCCTACTCTGTGCAGTGAACTGTGGTAGGTGCTGTAAGGCACAAAAAGATGATAAAAAACCTCTTGGCCCTCTAGATTTCAAACTAGTAGCATTAAAAAAAGACATGGGTATAAACAGAGGGCTCCCAATACATACAGGAGGAAGGGAACCTGTGTATGGGATAAGGATGAGGATGAATTTGGACAATTTCATAGAGGAGATGGTATTTAAGCATTTTCAGTTGACACTTGACATGTGCGGTACATTTTAAAGACCATTTTCCATGCATTGGGAATAGAATAAAGTAGTTAGGAAAT